AATTTGACACCATTAATTTACACTGTCTCTGAAATATGCATACAAGATTCCAACATTATCGTTGATTTGACCTCGTCTAATAAAATACCCTCTCGTAATAAATCATAGAGGTATCAGTTTGACTAATATAGTATTTAAAACATTAGCCTCCATAATAATCTGATGTTTATGAGCTTCTCAGAAACAACAACTCCGAGAAAACCACATTGGTCTCAGGAGCAAGAGTGAACGTACTGATCAACTAATCTCCAGGTTTTAGAGTACAGAAATTCTTACCGACCTATAACTGTAGTTGTATTTTTTGGCCCTAAAACAGTATTCGAACGCGTTAACCGAGAGGTTTCGTGACTATGTTTGTCGTTGAAAGGAGTATCAAAGTACTTCATAAACTTTGTGAGGAATCTCTCCTCAAACACTATTCATCGGGCCAGAGCTTATGGTAAACTGTCATTAGAGCTGTCAACCCCAACTATTCTTCGTCAGAGTTATACACTGGCCCCATTTTTATTTAATTTTTTCCCCCATATCCTAATCGAAATAAAGTTTTTTGCCTGAATTTTCCGGAATTTATTTCCTGCTATGAGATATACTTGTTGACTCAGAATAGATAAATGATATGGTTCTATCTGGTGAAGGTGCTAAGCAAAATCAGTTTTTTTAACGTCTTGAACAAAATTACAGGGATGTTTGGGATACGATTCTCTCTTTTTAAATGCAAAATGTAGCTTCAGAACTAATCTGCGTCAACACCTGAAATATTGATAGACAGTGACGTAGTTGAGCACGTCTATCATATCATTTTGAAAGTTTCACAAAACTTGGTTGGTATCGGACGAAATCTCAGTACAGATTCTGAAAGTTATTCTGTCTTTGCCAACTTGCTTCTCTTAAGGCGTAGATTGGATGTCCGTCTGTCATCTAAAGAGCATTTATACTGTGTATAAATTTGCTCCGTATAACATTGCGCCCATGAAACGTGATCTTTGAAGATAGATGTAATCAGGTTGGGGCATTTTATAACAGATATCTTCGGAACATTTCTCACGTTTCATGGAATTACCAAGTGAGCAATGTTGAGGTTATGTATAAGGTACTAGACGGTAGGGACAAATCAGTTGATGGGTTTACGAATCCTCATCAACTGAGGTGTTTCGAACATCTATTACATATGCTCAAGCATCGCCTACCTCGACGAACAATGTTATCTAGTATGGGAGTTGGTTGGAAGAAAGCTATTGATAGCCAAATCAAGACGTGTTATCAGACGAATAAGTCATTGATAGAGTGGAATGAGTCTGTTTGTAGGTTCAGGCCATGTGGTCGAGGTCTGTGTGAGAGCCGCCACCAACGTCTGAACACTGTGTTATATAGCTCAGAGTCATTCACAATGACACAGGTACATTTACCCTTAACCTTCCTCTCGATCCTGAACTTTATATATATATATATATATATATATATATATATATATATATATATATATATATATATACCAATTTGCTATATACATCTTTTTAACTTCATCTTGACGTACGATTGTGGTATGGGGACTTCATTAAACTCACATCTGTGTCATAATCCATAATGATGATATATGACTGACTATAATTTACACTCTTTTGTGTGCTATTCAGTATAACTTCAAATGTAGTTGACATTTGAATGAAATAAATAATAAACTGTTTATCAAATGGGATTTTCATAGTTCTCATGTCAGGGTAGGTCCTCTGAGTCAAATCAAGTATAGTGTACTTTATGTCCTTATTTTTATAGGAAAAGTACTGACGTTTATCACAAGAATATAAAATCTATCACATGTGGTTAGATTAAGTTACAATTTAAAAGTTGTCAGGTTTCATCGAAAGAGAAATTACTACTACTCTTACCAAATATGGTTTTATGTACTCGGTTGAGCTAAACCTTCATGTAAGGGCAATTTGTTTACCTAAACCTAAGCAAATTAATCAGGGTTTAAAACCGTCATCTGTTAGTTAAAAAATGGACACTTTAGCCTCTGAGCTATTCATTTCTTCGTATTTATGGACGCAAACTTTATTCAAACTTAATCGTAACTTCAACAGTTGAACTCATGAGTCGATCTAAGCTACACCACCATCGAAAACCTCGAAGCACTGGAGTCCGTTTTGCTCTAGTATCGGACTCCTCAGCAGTGCACATCCACGATCCCGCACGTGAGGCTCGAACCCAGGACTTTCGGTCTCGCGCGTGGACGCTTAATCTCTAGGCCACTGAGCCGGTATCCAACTGTGTTAATGTCTAACTTCAATCTATTCATGATCCTGCACAACCCTTCGTCCGTTGTTTTAAATGGACGACTGTATCCACCTGACACGGACATTAACACCGTTAAATATGAGTTCAGTAGTCTGAATGTCAAGCGTTCGCGCGCAAGACCGAAGATCCTGGGCCCGAGCTTCGTGTGCAGGTTCATGGATGAGTACTGCTGAGGAGTCCAATACTACGACGAAACGGACGTCTAGTGTTTCCAGGTTTTCGATGGTGGTCTAGCATAGATCGACTCATGAATTCAACTATTACAATATTACAATCTCAATAAACCCCCATTCTGATGTTAATCATAATTGTTTATTATGTATACCTGAAGAGTTATAAATTTTATACCAATTAATGTTTTAAATTTTTACAATCCACTCAGTTTTTGATCAACGTTTAAAATAATTAGCCCATTTCATAAAGTGACACAATATAATGAGAATACTAGATTTGTCAAGACAGTGGGCTATATTGAAGTAATGTAAATCAAGTAATTTGACGACGTACTAGATTTACATGGGCAATGAAAAAGTAATTCTATACAAACGGCAACACTAGGAACAACAAAGATAATAAAAACATTGATCAAATCCTTCTGGATATTAAACTAAAATCTGTATTACCAGGGTCGATTGTATGTAAGAGTACAAACTGATTTCGAACACACACGATAGAGCTGATTTGATTATTTTAAATATATCAAACTAATAAATCATATATTTCCAATAAAATTTATCTCCTTATTGCTCTATCTAGATTGTCAGCCTGCTCTGTTTACAGTTACTTATTCTTGTTTGTCCTTCTTGTGTAGTTTATCTGAGAATTCCCTTTGTATTATAGTTAGACCAAAAAATTAACTGTGTGTTGTGTGTTTGGTTGATTGCATACAGATGTTGTAAAAGAACTGACTGTCAAAAATACATTCCACAAGTTTTTTCACATATTTACAGAGAAGATTCAGTAAAAGCATTTAACACTTACATTCAGACACCTCATGTTTCATAGATGAGGTATTTTAAACTGCTAAATGAATCAACCTTATTTAAGCTAAAAATATGGATCGTTTAATTTCAACTAAATGATTTGAAGTTAGTACACCCATCATTATAAATAAAGGTTCTGATTTTCATTATTGATAAGTTACTGGGTACATACAAGGTAGGAGTTCCAAGTATTATTAAGACAACTACCTAGCGTTTCTTGATTTCTTTTTAATGGTTTCCTAAGAGATCTCAATTCGTGAAAATTGACATCGAGCTCAGTAAGCATTTATCACAAAACAATACTAATTTATTTAGTGATTACAAATAAGAGTTTCTACTTATATAATGAGTCATAAAAATGATCTGTTTTTAGAACAGAAAATTTTAATCGTTCTACTTCAGAAAATTTTACTTTAAAGCTACTTAGTTATCTCTAAAACATTTTGTCACTGTCAAAGTAAATGATTATAGGGTAAGTTTATCTTTTTCACTTGAGATATGTAATACTATTCTAAATTTCGAATTGTTTTCAATTTTGATAAAAGGTTCCAACTAAATTTTACTATGCGAATAGAGATAAAAGTAGAATCGCTACTAATACTACTTCTATTATTATTATTATTATTATTATTTCTATCTTTGTTATAGTTTCATTACTGGTGTTTTGCAAATATAAAATCATTGTGCACATCACATTATTGATTATAATGAAAGAATAAGGTTCACTGTAGATAAGGTTTGCCTACTTCTCTGTTAATTGATGTTTCATTTTGCAATGGGTCGATCTTTTTCTTCATGGGTCAGCAAATTTTGGTGGTTTGTTTTTATGGTTTCATTTTCATGGTACACACTTTCATTAACTCATAATTTTATGTACCTTGTTATCAACTATTGAAGATCATGAAGGACTGAATTAGCGCCTTCTCTCATTTCGCAACTTTAAAACATACCTATACTTCATGTGCAATTAAACTCGAGTTCTTTATCTTTTCTATACGAAACATTGCAAATCAACCATTATGCTTAAAATTCATAATTCATATTCTCTTATTTTGGTCATTTCACCACAGAATGTGACTACTATAATCAGTGGTCATTCCTTTGCTTTCTTAACTTACTTGATGAATATCGTTTCAGATCGTAAGTATAAGTAGTCAAATTATTACAAACAGTTTGTAATTTTAGAGATTAATATGATTAACTTAAAAAGCTCTTTCACAATACAAAGTATAGTGGTAACAAACATTTTGACAAACAATTATAAATAAATAAGTAAACTAAATAATTGACTCAATAATTGAATGTACTGACGTCTCAACTAGGTAAAGTGATCAGTCTGAACTAAATGGAGAAAACTATGGATAAATAGTGAGAATTAAAATTCCAAGAAGAAAAAAGTAGAGAGAAGAACAGAGTTGTAGTACTGACGTTAATCTTGATTAATTTTTGTTCAAGACTCGGGTTACTCACTTTTTATTTGTCAATAATCTAGGTATTGAGTAGTTTGGCGAAAAAATATAATGACTTGATATTATTACAATATACATTTGTTAGCTGACACTTAAAATGTATTACTTGTCTTACTTATCTGACATTTGATACAAAGATTAAAATCGGTATTTGTATACTACATCTGAGCGATTCATTATTTACTTAAATATTATTTATGAAAGATCAAACAATCTATAGTTATCCACTCATTTACCATTTTTTGTGTTTTAGAATTCAGTGAAACCAATAAATTACTGTCATACAAATAATAAACAACAGGTCGTCAACACACCGTCTGCATCATCGTTAATAACACCATCACAATTATACTCTCCATCTTTTAGTAATTATAATCAAACATATGGTACAATATCCTTATCTCAACTACACCAATTACATACACGTAAATGGGCACACTAAGGAAATAAAATAAATTTTTTTGCAAAAAACGGTAAACATTTTTTTTTATTGATCTTCATATTTTCATTACATCATTAGATCTACTCATTCATATCAGGAATAAATCATTAACAAATGAATAATACAATGTCCATTTACTGTATTTACAAAATGCCATGTGTACTTTACTATAATTCAAATTTAACACCACCACCGTGATTTTCTGAAACATTTTGAATTTTAAATCACTTCTATGAAATTTTCACATTTACTACTTCAATTAGCTGATTCTTCTTTTACAATTTATAAATTTACTTTTCATTCTAACTAATGATAATAATCGATGTGTTTTCACTAATTCTCTAAACATGTACTAAATAGTAATTCAAGAAGGTTGTATAAATTTCATCAGAATGAAGAAAATTTCACAAATAGTTTTTAATATTCGAAATATGTTGTATCCATCTTTATTTAATAATAATGTGCAACTATGTTCAGTATTTGTAAATTTCACTGTAATCATAAATATTATTATATCTCTAAAATAGTTTACGATAAAGAGTATGTTGACAGTATTTATTTATTTATTTTAACACATAGGTATTGATACAAGGAGGCGCCAAATACATATGCGCCACACGAATCTCAATTGATTTGTGTGAGGGCTGTGATACTGCATGGGTGCCCAAACCGAAGTAGGTGGTTTTCTTAAGGGGCCACACCCCGAGCCTTCGACCTGAACGTCTGACCCACAAGGCAGTGGAGCATCGTAAGGAGATGCAGTCCCACGGTAGCCGGTTACCAACGATTGGTTCATACGCCATTTGTTCCTTCAGGATACTGGAGCCCATGGGCACCATTGATTAGAGATCCGGTTATAGCGCCGGACATTCGCTTTTCGTCCTCTCATTTTCGTAAACAACACCCCCGCCACGAGAAGGCAGTGAGTAGGACTTCTCTAGTAGAAGCTATATACACGTGGCCATTTGAGAGCATTTCGAGAGGGTGAGCGGACTCTGCCCACTCTCGGCCGTACCAGGGCATTTGGGAGCATGTTGACAGTAAAACAAACAAGAATAAGTATAATTAATCTGTTCAGTATGCTTATTGTTACTCTTATTATTATTATTTACAATAAATGTGTAAAATAAATTTGAAATAGATTTTTTCTTCCTATGTGATAATCGTGCCTCTTTTAACATGGGAGCGTACTTCATATACTCTTGAGTAGTTTAGTTCAGATAATCCTTTATCTATTGATGTGTATTTTAATCATTTATAATTACAATTATGTTTTTTAAAAAAATGTTTTTTTGTTGTTGTAGAAATATGATAAAAATTAAGTGGTTATGTAGATAATTTTGTGTTTTTTTTGAAGACTATATTTTTAACCATAACCAATAGATCAACAAAGTTTTTGGTGAGACAATAATTCGACGGTGTTATTGGATTAGAAAAGTGCTATTGTTATAAAACAAACTGAAGTTGACAATATGAACAATTGGATTAGAACTAATGAGTTATCACCGTTAACTGAGCATTTAGATCGGGAATTATTAATAGTTTCTCCGTGAAAACTTCCTTAGATGTTAGTTTGGCTTAAGGAGTCTTGGTTGACGAACTTGTTGTCAAATTTCTCTCAATTAATGAGTAATCAGATATTTACAAGGCACCTCTATACTCCAGGGATTGTATAGTCATGAAATCGGTTTCCTTTTGAAACTCACAAGCCTTAATTTTATTATTACTAAATAAAGTTTTCTTACCCACGAAAGCGTTTTAATACAGAGACTTATTTATAGAAACTACTACTAATTGCTCAACTTAAATCAGACATGATGTTTTCCTATACCAATATGGTGTTTATGAATGGCGGATTATCACAAAATCGAACCTGAAATATTTTAAGCAGTTCCATTTAGAAATAAAAATCAGAAACTTCATAACGATATCATTTTCTTGTTAATCAACTAATTTGGATAGACACTTTATAATTAGTAGCATAGTCTTTAAACATGGGTAACAAGGTGATTTGTATTAAAATTATTGTTTCTCATTACTCAAGAGATCTTGATATTATGAATAGTTGTAATTAATTTATAAAAATTTTACTCATAAGGGAAACTTCATGAACTGTTATTAGTTTTATTATACGTTTCTCATAGTTATTAACGAATTTCATATAAAAAGCATCAATTACTGTTTCTTAATACTTATCTCTTACTGATCATAATACTGGAGCAAGTACACTTTTACGTTTGGTTACTTTTTACTGGTTTCTCTATGAAAAACCATTTCACGATCAATTGTTAATGGATATAAGCTTCAATTCATCGCACTATTTCTTCTATTCTAGTAAAATAAAATTATTTATCATAAATGTTAATTCTAATCTTGGCAACTACATTATCACAATCACTAAAGCTAATATATTCCAATGTTTATAGATATTTTTTAATCACCCAATAAAGTAGATTTTTAATTCTTGACAGTCTATTATTTTTCATAATTCTGAAAAAATGTTTGCAAGAAGTAAAAATCATGAATCCTAAATGATTAAATCGTTTAATTTAAAAGATTTCGTCACAGGCTAACTTCAACTGGAGAACAATTGTAAAGCATTATTCATTGAACAGTTTCGGGTTCACGTGTACTCTTCCCTAATACACACTCGTTGCTGCCGAGGGTAAGCAGCTGGTCCCATTTTTTAATGGTTCTCGAACTAAAGTCAGTCTATGGTACAAAAAAGATCGCCTTTAAAATGAATGAACTCAGTGAATTCTCAGCTCCTAATTAATAACAACAAGTGAAGGAATCATTCCATTTAGTCAAAGCCTAAAAAGGAAGATTAGTAAGTAACCAGTAAATCTAGACTTTTAGACACGATTAAATTTGTCATTAGTATGATATAAAAATCCTTAATATAGGAAGAATCAATGTACCCAATCTAATCTTAGTTTTAATACAATATTGGTTAAAAGTGTATGTTTTAAATAAGGTGGAAGCAAATTACCAATTTTTTTTTCTCAGAATAATTCAAACCTCAATTTTTCATCAAAAATTAGTCACAAACATTTTTAATAGATCATATTACATAAAAAATGTGTTTTTACACATTTATGGTTTCAACAATAAATTAAAAAAACTGGCGATCACATTACAAAGGCGCCCGTGATATGTGAATATGTAAACTAAACCAGTGAAGGTGTTACAGAATTCACAATGAAAAATAAGCATTTACGTATGTTAATAAAAGAATAATTAATTTATTTTAATTTCACTGAGACAAAAACATACACTCTAGTGTGAAGGTTTGCAGGCAAACGAAATAGGATAACTTGTAAATGTAATGTCATGTGCCGATTTTTGTTCAGCATACACGAAAACATTACTTCAAACTTTTTGAAGTTTTTTACGACACAAGGGGTTTTGTGGAGATTAGTTCAGTCTAGAAATACCATTCATTACCGAATAATATCATCTGAAAGACCAGTGATAGTTCTGAGTTCTATCCTGATAAAATTACAGATACTGAAAGGTGCTTATCTAGAACACAAGAATTCCCAATATCTCTCTGGTTTTATTGGTTCTTCAAATGATATCAATCAGAGGAAAACTCCTCTCAAATTTTCACAAGCTTATTGGAGATTGTAGAGAAAAAGTGAACAATAACAGATAAAAAGGAAAACATTTTAGTGAATTCGATCAATCAAGAAATCTACAGTTTGCCGGAACACATAAATCCGTATTCAACAATTTTATGATTTAATCCTGTATTGGTCTGACTATCTTAAAGAGTTTTTTTTACCCTACTTCTGCTTCAAATAACGCCATACATAAGGGTAAACTTCAATTAACCTTCGGCCTCATATACTTTGTTTACGACAGTTGACGATATAGGTAATTCAAACTGTGAATGCCATTAAAAGAATTTAAAGGAAAATAAGATAATTAGGTCATTAGATTGTAAGGTAGAAGGAAACAAAACTTCATTTTTAATTCACTGAATAAATAGGAAGTGAAGTAACACTCATATAGTTTAAAATAAACATCTAGTAATCCTTATACTGTAGATTACAATGATTGATTTCTGAATCCAGTAAAAATTAATGTATGAGATCAATACTGAAGTGTGATATTTATACAAAATATCTAAATCAAATCTCTTTACCGTTCATAAAATTTAATAAGTGGTCATGTAAATGTTTTAGTTGATGTAGGGACATTACGCACGAATTTGTGTAATGAAAGATATTTTCATTCCGTTTTGGGTGGTTGATAAATGACTTCGAATACAAACTTCCTCAGTCCTTGAATATATCGTCAATTCTAGTCATATGCCACCAAGATTATCTACTAAGCTGAAAGAATTAGCTCAAAGACTTGGGCGAGGAACTCGTTCACACCTGAAGCTATAGTAATTTCAAATCGGATATCTGTGTACAAGATTCATGTTCACTCTCCTATTCTTCAGTGATCTTAGGACCCCTCTCAATTTTACGAATTGTAAGTGCTAATCTTATTCTTTATCTTCTTCTTTGTATAGTGGATGGTTGTCTTTTCATTTGTTGTGTAACTTACTATTTGATTTTGACGGGGATTTTTAAACAGTAAAAATTATAATTTCTTAAAAGTTCTGAAACTAGCACGTAACTCAATTCCTTAACAGCTTTTAATCACTGCTAAACGATGTAGTACCTATTTAACTGATTACACGAAAGCTTTCAATGATCGTTAATTAATTTACTTCAATACTGTGTTATTTTTGCAGCCTTTTACATTAGGTAATTGGGTATATTTAACCATAATTTATAGTTTTGTATCATGATGTAACACCCTTATGTTTTACCAAAGACTATCGCATAGAAAAATGTTAGCCAGAAATACTACTGTACAGCTCATGAAAATGATATCATCAAAAAATTTCTCTGAAACGCCTTCCTTCTTTCTAATAAATCAATAAGTTTCTTTGATTAAGTTAATTTTTTATGTACTAAACTGGGAGTTGTCAAAATTAAAAGAAGAATATTAGTAATACAAATCTTCATCTAACCCATTTCTTTGAAAATATTTCAGTGTTCATATTTCATTTACATGCATTGTTTTTACCTATATATTTTATTACTTGTCAGCTTATCTTGTATCACGATGATCCTGTTGACATTACTACAATAACTGCTCATGGAACTAACCTAATTAATTACAAGAAATAGAAATGGACGGATAAATAGAATACGTTGTCAGGGAATGAGAGTCATCATTTGTGCACACACTATTCAGTCAGGGTAGTATATTTAGTTAGATGATTATTCAAGGATGAAAATAAAGATCCCAAAGTAATCGCAAATCCTTCTCTTTTGCCAGTTACATCAATTTTTGCTCACCCACATTCTTCATTACAATAATAGTGCGTAAATGATTATAAGTCAGTAAACATTTGTAGTTATAACGTTGTACCTTCAATAGGAAATCGTTTAATGTTTGCTTAGTATTCAGTGTTCGGAGTATTAATGAATTTATATAACGCATAACCAAAAACCACTAGAAATAGGGACTAGACAATCATGACACTGATTACTACTCAATGATTGATCAACGTAAATGTTTCTATACTACAGGAGGTCAGTCACGACCCGAACAGTTCAGTGGTAACGTCTCAAATCGTAAAGTTGGTTGATGAGGATATGAATCCCATCGGGAGAATCTATTCTCTTGAGATTAAAGGTACACTTCACTGACGAGTGCCATATAGAACGAAATTTAAGTCTAGAGTTTCGTCCTAACTGCCTCCAACTACCTAACATAATTGACGGTCGTTTGTTTTAAAATGAAAATTAAGTGAATAAGTGTAGTATGCGACGAAACTTCTGCACTATATGATTAATGAATAGTTTTTATTGGAACTGTGTACCAGCTAGTAAAATACTGAAACCATAGAAATATAGCTAAACAATCCAGTCCTATCAAGACATATTATAACCAATAACTACTTCTGAAAAGTTATTACGGAATTTTCAGTTTGTAAACATTATATAAACAGACTGGAGTGCAACTTATCCCCTGATGTCTTTACATTTTACGTCAACATCATATTTTTATCATTTCATAGGACACCTCAGCAATTAGCACTCATGACCTTACCTAAGGTCTAATCCAGAACTTTCAGTTATCTTGACAACAGCTCAACCTTTAAGCAACTGAACTGACATCAAATAGTTTTCATGGCCAACTCCAATCAATTCGAGACATTGCGTAGACATCTTGTTTTGTCTTCGATGGGTAGATGCCTCACATCCAACACAGTTGAAACGGTTACGGCTTCTCACAAGAACGCCAGAACTCTTTCTTGAAGTTTGTAACTAGTTGCCACATAATAAATATCAGTATTGAGGGTTTGTGGCGTTTGTTAAGTGCTATTGGGATCACGAATAGACGTAAGTCGAACAGTCATTGGAAACCAGGAAGCACTAGACAGGATGTAATAAGAGAAAGAAACAATTGTCTAGTGTTCGCCAGTTTTCGGATGTTATCTCGTTTCGACCATATAGTGACCTCGCTAACTTTCAACAATTTACATTGACCCATGTACTGATCATATTTTCACATTTTGTTGGGAAGATTGATCTTCTTATATTAGTTTTTTTATTGGCCGTGATCGTTTCTAACATCACTCACCTATCACCATCGTTTTTGCATATTCCTATTTTATTGAAGCATTGTTTTTGTAAATGATAGGGATAGAAAATTTACCAGATACTTTTCTCGCTAACCCACGTTATATTAGAATTAATTGCAGCTGAGTTGTTAGTATCACCCAATGAGAAAATAATATTAATAAATCTGTATTCTGATTGGTTAATAATTCCGTCTTTTTAATTAATTCCCTAGACATCTTAGATTTAGGATATTTTCATGATTGATGTAAATCATTTTAACATACATTTTATGGTATTAAGCGAATGACTGGAAAAATAAAAAATCATACACCTTACAATCCCAACATGACTATTACCTCTAACAACACTATCTATAATAATACCCTACTAATTACACCAAATGGTAAACGAAGAGGACGTAAACCAGGTTTAAACAGCACAGTTGCGCAAAGAAGTGCAGCGAACGCTCGAGAAAGATCTAGAATGCGTGTCTTATCTGGTGCATTTGTTGAACTAAAAGGCGCACTCCCATGGGTTCCCAAAGATACAAAACTTTCCAAGTTAGATACTTTAAAACTAGCAGCTGGTTATATCGCCTATTTAAGGCGGATATTAGACACATCGGAATCACATACAATAATAGCACGACCATCCGTTGAGATAACAGAAGAATCAAGATTAGTAAGAACAGCTACATCGTTAAAACTATCGGCTAGTCAATCGAATTTTGAATTAAATTCAAATTTACACAGTAATACATTACCGGATACGATAAAGTTATTTAATCTTTTTACGAATAACAGTGGTCTAAAGAAACACTATGATGAAAACTATTCAAAATATACTTATAAACATGAAAAACGAAGAGAAAAAGGAGAAGAAGAGGACTATCTACCCCTTCTTGATCATAATCAACAACATCAAAATCCTCTAAAGCAAAACAATAATCAGCAGTATTCCCAGTCAGATCAATGTATAATTAATCATTATAATCATCAGCACCATGTTCCTTATGTACCAGATCATCAGTACGATCAGACTCCACTTCAACATCAGGATCATCATCTACATACTGTAAATTCCGTCACATGTCGTAAATTCAACCTATTATCAACCTCAACATCGTCATCACCATCACCAACTACCATACAACCGACCACAGACAGCGAATTTCCCATCAGTCAGTCGATTAATGAAGCTGCCGACAATAATAATAATTCTGTCTATTGTATGGGATATATGAATGATAGTTCTTTAACTATGAAAAATAGCCCGTCTTTTATCTATCCTGAATTATGCCCCAATCAACATGAATTCAAATCATCAGTATCCTCATATTTAGATAATATTTACGTAAGTTTTACCATAGACTATTTACATTTTTCATATAAGATAATGAATATATTTTACCTTTCATAAGTAACAAGCACTGAAATCCAACTCTGGAGTTTTTGATGTGAATTCACATTATTAATGATTATTTATTTGAAGATAAATTTAGTAATCTTTAGAATAAGTCCGAATTGGCTTTTGTAATAGTTCATTCAGATCAGGAAATTGTTTATTTGTTGTTAATGAGACTTCAACTTGCCTTTATTCTGTAGTACTGTCAGAACTCTTTCTAATAAATTCAACAAATTTCTAGTAATATGTCATATAATTAGATTGTTTATATTAACAAACATATTAATTATATACTCATTAGTGTTATTTGAAGTTTAGATTGACTGAATGAATGAACAACAGAAGATAAAAATTTACATTTAACTTTAGAGATAATAAATTTAGCTCCAAATAAATTGTTCTCAAGCCTGTTGATATTATCATTACTTTTATCACTATTCATATTTTTATTAGACGTATCGAATTGAAAAATAGCTGTTGATTTTAACTAACTTAGAAAAACACTATTGTAGCTACTCTAAACCATAAAATTTGCTCTAAGGATGATTTTGATTACACTAAATGGAGGCACCTTAAAGCTCATTACAATTAAAATTACCCTTCAATGACCTCGAATTTATTGCATACCACCTTAACCTCAACGAGTTCATAAAATAAAGTTTCCAAAACTGATTTTAACACGAATTGAAGTTAACTTTATAATCACTGAATGGAATTGACAGAATTCATGATTTAAGACTGTCAAGTTGTGTCAAACTGGAGTGGATAAAGCTAACTATCTTATCTTAAGTTCCATTCGTTTTTTATTTGATTTCACTTCAACCGGATAACTACCTAAAAATAACTCAATTCTCTAAAGTCATTCAGATTGTTAACAGTTATTCTTTGTAATTATCACTGTAGTTTGTAGAGAAATGATTAGTATTACTATATGTGTATTCCATGATAACATTTTATTTTACGAACCAATTTTGATTACTGTTTAAAATTTACCATTCCAAAAGTAAAACCTACTGTACTTGATGAAACACGACTACATTGTAAAGATAGGTATAATCTTATAATGTAATACAATCATCATTTTTACGAACTTACCAGAACATAAATTCTAATCTCGCGAGCGGGGTCGCAGATGAGCACTTCTGAGGAGTTCAATACTAGGGAGAAACTGCCATCCGGTGCTTCCAGGCTTTCCATAGTGGTCTAGCTTTAAACGACACATGAATTCCGATGTTAAATTACACAAATTTTTACTACACAGGATGATGTATTTACTTGGAAACACATGATCTAGTAATATCCTATTTATCAATCATATTCACTCGTTTTATTCACATTTACAATTGAAATTTTAGAAAAACAGATCACTTCGTCAAACATTTAACAGGTTCGTTACTATTCGGACTATATGTATTCGAGAATGTATGTTCATTTAAATGAAAATTATTCATGTAAAATATTGTGGGATTTTTCTACCATATTATTAGTTAGCATGGTCTTCAGTAATACATGTATTGTTGTGTTTATTATAAAATTCACACTATACATCGATATGTGAATAACTCTTGTTACGACGGTGAAATATGTTGATAACTTTGATCATTATGCTAGATATATCTATTTCGAGTTCTTGTAATCAATTATAACAAATTTTGTGGTGTCCGATTTGTTCCTTTACTACAAAATTGTCAATATCTAGTAAAATAAAAGAGTGCAATGTTGTAAACAAACTGTTTAATTAGATTTTAGTTGGGAAAATAGCAGATTTATGAAAGTATCTAGTCTTAATTAGTAGAGATATAAAAGTTGTTTTTTTATAGGCCTCATAGTTGTAGGAAAATTTGGGTGATATAGTGTCAATAACAAATTTACATTCCCGAAATGAACAGCATTATCTGTATCTATAATATATAATGTAATAATGTCTATAGACTGCATAAATTCATTTGTATTTTTCAGTCGAGGGGACCTAGCACAAAATTCGTCATATTATCCCAAATCAATACACTTAAGATCTAGTTTAATTGTTCCTGATGCCGAAACTAGTTAACCTATCGATCATATCTCGTTTCTCCAATCAATATACTTCAAGTAGTAACGAACATTGGTTTTGAGAAGTTCAGAAGTGGGTGTGTTTAACTATATAGAGAACTAGTTTCAAAAGTCCCAGGTCTTTTGATAAACACACCATCCCAACTTAATGTTTTACTTATTTAACTCAATGACATAGAGTACCTCTTGTATACTATCATCTATGGGTATTCACCAGAACTTCTGATTTTTTACTATTCTCACACATCATGCCTTCCAACAAAAAACTTCGGACGATTTTTCCTCCGACAGGTCACAGGTAAATGGTTTATTACTCACTTGTGCAGTCTATTATTATTTTAAGAAAAATAATTTCGATTTAACATACATCAAATCCTGACAAAAACTAAATGCGAAAGATTAACATGTTTACTAATATGAATCAATTTTGCATCTTATAGACCATTTTTTAATGAAATCCATTATTATTTGGAGAAACATCTTCTAGTACTTCTCAACACCCTGTTTTCAAACCACTGGATGTCTATGGTTAGTACTTTTAATGTTGCAAGATACAAATTGTTGACATTACCTGATTTACGATGTTCATGGGCTAACACGTGGTAGATTGTAAATGGAACGTAGTATTACTATTTCGATACAGGTTACTAAAGAATACTGACAATAAATTTGTTGCGTAACTCATGCTAAATACCAAACAACTATAAAAAATAAAGTAACACTGAATATTTATTTCAATATTTTTTAAATTAATATAAATTAACAATTCGAAATCCTTAATGAAAGAATATTTCTAATATCGTACTAAGAAAATGTTACGTTTTATTAGAATATTTACCACTTTTAGAGTCAGAAAAGTTTATTCTAGCAGGAACCAAGTTATCTTGTAATATGAATTGTTTGTAGTCAGTAACATCAGGTGGAATTCATCATAGAAGTTTCAGCACTGAAGTTGTTTCAAAACAAATGAATGTTATAATTTTTAATCTTGGAAAGACGTACAATCTATTCTGCTGATGTATCTAAAAAATAATTCTGAATAACATTTCGAATATATCATATCGTTGAAAAGAAATGAAACAGTTAAATCGACCATAAATTCTCAATATTATTAAAAATTCGGTTAACGTTACCAAAGAAACACTTGTAATGTTAAATTATTATAAACTTGTAATGGGAATATTTATTTGATAGTTACCATTTTAAATTTTATTAATTAAAAGCAAAGATGGATAGTGGCTAGCAGTGGAATCTAAGACGCGCGTTTCATCCTATTTAGGACTCCTCAGCTGGATGTACCTGCATCTCACAGTTGATGTTCACTCTGTGACTCGAACTCAATACCGTTCGCTTCAAACTCCATCGCGTTATCCAATTAGCTAGCCACCATCAATCGTTGCTTATAATACTTGAGAATTAAGGCAATATCGAGGCAATGCACAGAGTATGCACACATTCCAATAACAGACTGATCGATTGCAGTCCTAAACATCAATGGGGAGATTCGAGTAAACAATACCAAGTGAACCTATTGATTAAAGTTCTTATGGGTGGTAAATTTTTAAGAATTATTCCATCATTCTACAAGCTGCAGTAAATTAGCAAAAAACTTTTTCTTTTTGTATTATTGGAATATTAAATGTTTTACCGAAGAATCAAACACAGTATATAAGATAACATGTATCGGTAATTACTTACTTACGCCTGTTACTCTTAATGGAGCATAGGCTGCCGACCAGCCCTCCCCAACCCACTCTGTCCTGGGTCTTCTTTTCTAGTTCCATCCAATTCTTGTTCATTTTTCTCATGTCTATCTCTATTTCCCGGTGTAATGTGTTATTTGGTCTTCCTCTTCTCCTTCGGCCTTGAGGATCCCATGTGAGGGCTTGTCTTGTGACGCAGTTCGGTGTTTTCCTCAGTGTGTGTCCTATCCACTTCCATCACTTCTTCCTCCACTGTGATCTGATTTGTTCTCTCCCATAGTAGGTTGTTGCTAACAGTGTCCGGCCAACGGATCTGAAGTATTTTGCGTAGACAACTGTTAATAAACACCTGTATCTTCTGGATGATGGATTTCGTAGTTTTCCAGGTTTCGCCCCCATACAGTAGAACTGTCTTGACATTTGTATTGAAAATTCTGACTTTGGTGTTGGTTGCCAATTGTTTTGAGTTCCAGATGTTCTTCAGTTGTAAATATGCTTCTCTTGCTTTGCCGATCCGTGCCTTCACATCTGCAGCAGATCCATCGTGTTCATCAACGATGCTGCCCAAATATGTAAAGGTTTTTACATCTTCCAAAGCTTCTCCGTCAATTGTGATTGGATTGGTACATGTTGTGTTGTATCGAAGAATCTTGCTTTTCCCTTTGTGTATATTGAGACCTATTGCTGCTGCTACACTGGTTGTCTTCTCCTGCATTTGTTGTTGCGTTTGCGATAGAAGAGTCAGATCATCCGCGAAGTCTGGATCATCCAACTGCATCCCAGATGTCCACTGTATCCCGTACTTCCCTTCAGATGTTGACGTCTTCATGATCCAGTCGATCACCAGGAGAAAGAGAAAGGGTGAGAGTAAGCAACCTTGCCTGACACCGGTCTTTACTTCGAACGACTTTGTCAACTGTCCCCCATGCACGATTTTGCAGTTTAATCCATCATAGGAATTCCGTATGATATTGACTATTTTCTGAGGCACACCTTAGTGTCGAAGAAGCTTCCATAGGGTTTTCCTGTCCACGCTATCAAATGCTTTGTCGTACTCAATGAAGTTGATGTAAAGTGATGAATTCCATTCAATTGATTGTTCCACAATGGTTCGTAGAGTTGCGATTTGATCTGTACACGATCTATCCTTACGGAATCATGACTGTTGGTCTCGAAGTTGGGCGTCTACGGAGT